AAGAAAACATACACAGATGATACTTCTGCCCCATACACAACATACAGTTTTTATTGTTCTTTGACTAAATTAATCAAAACTAATGTTGGTTCAAGACCGGAGCATGTCAATGTAAAATATTGAGTTTTTGTTTTGCTCATAATATTCAGTTTCAGTTATGTATTTTTTTCTCTTATACACTTTTTCCCTTCAGTCTCCTGAAAACAAATAAGTGAAGTTTTACTGTATTTGCTATCATAACTGTCAAAGAGGCAGAACTCCTGATAGAAGACACAGAAACACCTCTTCTTGGTTGTTAGTTCAGAAAAGATAGGCAAAAAGTACATTCCATAAAAATGTTACTATGTATCCTGCTGTAGTATTCCTTTATAGATGAGTAAGAGATGAATAACGGCAATTGTGTTTCTTTCGTTTTCAGCATTCGTTTCGAGCATCACAAATACTTCTAGCACGAGCTAGTCCCATCTTTGAGACAATGTTCTTTGGAGAAAGAAAGGGAAAAGATTTTATAGAAATAGAAGATGCAGATCCTGATGCATTTTACTGCTTGTTACAGTAAGATCAACAAAAAAATATTTGTTTAAATAATAGATTAGTACTTACAAATACCTTGCCATTCCAGACATTAAAACATTTTTCCTACCTACAAGCACAATAATTGTATAATTAACTCAACTGTTGTAGAAAAATGAATAAAATTGAATAAAGTCATGTTGCTAGCTAATGATAGAAAATAGAAAATTTAAGATAAGCTAAAAATCTTCATTTTTGTTTTTTTGGTCAGATTTGCCTACAATTGTAAATGGGATTTCAAATCACATGAAGAAGCTGTAGAAGTTTATTACCTTGCACAAAGATTTATAATTAGAGAACTGCAAGCCTGTGCAGTTGAATATGTGTGGCCTACAAACACAGATAATGTATGGAGTGCACTTCATATATCCACACACTTTCACGAGAGGGAGCTGAAAGCAGCTGCAATGAAGGTAAGTTTAGTTTCCTGGTTTCAGTCAGATAATCATATTAATTACCCTAATGATTCACACTCACCATACAATGTTTTCTTAGGTGATTTGTGAGCACACCCAAGATGCATTTGCACATCCTTCTTTCCTGAAAATCAGCAGGCGAAGTTTAGTAGCTATTCTTGAACAGACTAACTTGCAAATTAACACAGAGCTGGAAGTATTTATTGCTTCAAGGAACTGGGCAATGCAGAGATGTCAGAAAAAAGGTAAGTTTATGCAGACATGGTTTCTTGAAATCAGGACTAGAAACTATCATTAAACATGAACCAAACATGTAATTATTTGTACCAACTGATTACCTACCAAATACTTTAGAGTTAGTTTTTATATTTTAAGATTAACTATATCTTAACCAAGAACAATATATCTCTAAATTAAAAAAATATTTAGGAAATAATTTATTTGTATTATTACCCATTTCAAGGCCTCAAGGGAATAAAAAATGATCCAAGTTTATCACAAGCACATTTTTAGATTTTAGTACCATCTTGTGGTAGGATGAGTGCAGATGTATCTATATATTGCTATTGTTTTCAACAGTTGCACAATTTGGGTGGGGATGAATAACGAGACTATTGGATTTAAAACATCCATGAATAGTTGTAGTAGTACATAGATCACAAATATCCCTCGTTATCCTAATTATTAGGATTACCGATTAATGATTGTTATCCTAATGATGTATCCCTATTTAGAAATCTGTAATAATTGTCAAAACTTACTTACTAAATGGTGGGAACATATTTTCATGCAACACTGATATTTATAATTACAACATACTTCATAGAAATCATGTCCAAGTGTCAGTATCAACAGCTCACTTCCAGATGTCCACATACAAAACATGTACATTACTTTACAACACATTGCCATATGACATTAAACTATAGAAGCTGGTACACAAATTTAAGTTATAAGTAAAATCTTTTCTGCTACTTAACTGTTTCTATACAATTAGAGACTATACTGATCATCAAAAAGAAAAATAAGGTATATTTTAACAAAACAGTGATATAAAATGAATTAGTTTAAATTTGTATCGTATACATTTTTTAAAAAGACTTAATATGCTTGTAACAAATAATGTACCTCAATTTCTGGGTCAATCCCCATCTCGACAAGGTTTTTGTCCATTGAGCAAATGCTGAGATGGCCCCTTGTTTTGCTTCAGAACGTAAATGTAGCTTCACTATGCACACATTTTGTTGAACTCTCCTTTTGCTTGTAGTGGTAGGAATAAAGGTAAGGGTGAGTTACTATTTTGTTAGCAATACAGAAAAATGAAACCTGCGTTTACAGTTCAAATAAGTTTTCTGTAACTCGAGAACGAAAATGACTTCTCTAAAATGTTGCTAATCTTGCCCTTTTTTAAATTTTAATTTTATTTATTTATTCATCTTTAACTTTCACTCGGCCTTCAACTATTTATAGTCAAAATGATAAGAAGGGATTCTGGAACTCAAGAAAACGTGTGCAGATGATCTTTTTCCCCATATGTCACATACAGTTTTTACTGTTTTTTTACTAAATAAATCTAAAATGAGTATACACAGCAGTAGGATGCCAGCCATTTGTTCACTGTTAACTTGGGCTCCAATTGCCTCTTTGTTTTCTTGCTCATCTTGTTGCCTTCAATTTTTCTTACCCTCTTCCTGCTTCCTTCATACTATTCCAAGCATTATATTATTTTCCACTGACTCTGTTCGCCTCATGATATGTCCAAAATATTTTAGATTAATTTAGGGACTTTCTAGGAAAAGCTTCGGGTTTATTTTTTTCAAAATTTCTGCATTTGACTTTTTGTTTTTCTATTTCATATTCAATATTTTTCTCCATACCCACACTTCAAAAGCATCTAACTTCCTTTTTTCTGCTTTTCTTAACGTGTAGCTTTCACATCCATACAATACAATTGGAAAAACCAGTTTCTCAATTAGTTGAATATTGGTCTTAAGTCTGCCTACATCTTTTTTATGAATTTGCGTTATTTTCTTTCTAATCCATTTCCTAAAATTATTCTTCTCTTTAATTCTTCTGTAGAGTATCCAGAGCTTGTTATAATAATTCTTTACAATAAATACTGAACTTCATCTGCCATGTATACCACTTCTGTCGATGTTCAGGCTTCCTTTGTCACCACTTGACATAAATATTTCTTTCTTTTTAGTCCTGCATTCGTGCCCTCTTCCACTACTTTAATTAGTAATCTTTCAAGATCTTCCCTGTTATTAGTAATGAGTGGGGTATCCCCAGAATATTTAAGTGGTTGATTTGCCTTTCCCCAATTCTGATGCCTACATCCATTTCCTCTATGTTTGTCATTCTCATAACATTTCTGTATATAGGTTGAACTATCCTGGTATCAGTATACATTCTTGTAAAGAAAGGTGATAATTGGGTCCATAATTGCATCACTGTGGTGATTATACTTTGGATCATATGAAACAAAGTAAATTAGATTCCCTCAGATTCAAGAACTGAATGCCTTGCCTCTCCAAAGTGACCAATGCTATTTGGAAGTATTTTTTCACATGATTTTGGAGGATTGAGATTCAACAATTTAGAATACTTATGAGACAAAGCTGATAATGAAATATTTTCCAGAAAACTATTAGTACCAAAGATATGATCTTTCTTCTGGAGTTGCTTTTTTATCTCCGATGACTTCTTACTTTTTTAGGACGCTTGGTTTAGGACATACCACCAGGTTCTTCTGTGACATGTTATAACTTATTTTCCATATCTAATGGATATCACCTAAACTATTGTCATTATTTTTTCCTCAGTCAATTGAGTATTGTCTGAGGAGTGCATCTGGCAAATCTCAATTTCCAGGATACTCAGATCATACCAGGATACCTCATTATCAAATTATTTAAATATTCCAGGATCTTCTTCCAATAGAAGAAATTCCTTCAAGGTCATTTTCAAAGGGCAAGGTTTGTAAACCCACTAACTGCCAGCACTTAGCAAGAAAACAACAAATGCCAAAATTCCCATTTGGGCACACCTTTTCACTGTTATGCAAAGCTCATTGTTGATTCTTGCAGGTCCTTTCCCGTATGAATTTATTTGACTTTTTCGGTCCTCCTGAAAATTTGAGCATTTAATTAGTGCCCTTTCCCTCTCATTTGACACTGCTCAAAATCATTCCGTTCTGTATCACCAGTATCTGTTTGTCCTATAGCGCTCTTGTTAGTAGCCTCTGACTCTTTAAACCACCATTAACATAATTCGCATCATATAGACATATAACACATCTCCATGCCTCTGTCCCGCACATAGTGTGGGAGAAAGCAGCAAAGTTTGGCAATTGTTTCGATTAATTTTACTTCCTTCCTTCTGCTTACACAGTATAGATAAAGTATTGTAATTTTGTGGGGAAAAGTGAATTTTCGACAAATAACCCATATTACCAGGCCCTAGTAATGCAAAAGTGGATAAATCTTGTCCCTATATATAGTAAATTACTTCCTCTAAGACAATGTGTAAACAGAATCTATGTTTATTTGGGACCTTGATACTGATTACCAATTAAAAAGTCTTTGAATTGAATGTCAATTTCTCTTTCAATGCCATCTAATATAATCTACATACTCTATGCAAGGTCTTAAATATAATTTTAGTGTATAAGAAACCTAGTCTAATAGCAACCTTATGCATTACTCTCAAAAGAGGTTATTAAGATATATGGTTGCCTTAACAACTGCAGGTTTACCTGAAGATGGACGACATCTTCGAAATGAACTTGGGAGAGCACTAAAATACATAAGATTTTTGGCCCTCTCTGCCCAAGATTTTATAGGTCTACCAATGGAATCCGGAATACTAACACCTGAAGAAAGTGTGGTTCTTCTTCGAGCAATCAACAACAAAGAAAAATTTTTACCTTGTCCTCATCTTTGTTCACTTCGCTCCGAGCGAAAAAAAATGTAACATGCAAAGAAATAAAAAATATCACAACAAAGGACATTCCATTTCATTTCATGACTGTATATTTCATAGAATAAACAATAAACACATTCTATTGAAATTCTAAGAATTTCTTTAATTATAAAAAATATGTACAATTTTACAAATAATTTTAGAAATAACATCATTTACGTTTCCTTCCTTTTCTACTCTTTCCTTTCTCGTCGGCAGCCATGTTTTTCCCCTAAAAACAACATCAAACATTAAACCATAAAAAAATAAATGTCAATGACAAAAAGACATAGGTAGGCCTCAAAAGGTTTTATGTTAATTGAAAATTATGAATATGTATAAAATCTTAATGCTAAATCATGATTCATATTAATAATACCAATTTATTTCTTTGCAACTTTTTGTCATATTTTTTCTCAAGAATTTTCTAGTCCCAACTATGAGTAACACTTTGAAAAGCACTATGAGGGGCATTCAAAAAGTTCCCAGAACTATGGTTCTGCATGTTAATGTTATAATCTATGGCATGGTAATGTAATCAATTTCAAAGATTTCAAAGCAGGACCCTTGCGTACCCATACACTTGCTCCATCGTTCCTGCCATTGACAGAGTCAGCGGTAGAAGGCTTCTTTCACCATTTGTCAGAGCAGAGCAGTTACATTCAATTTAATGTTCTCCACGGTTGCAAAACATCTCCCCTTGAGGCCTGATTTCGGAGTAGAAAACAGCCAATTAACTCTGGTAGCAAGATCCAGAAAGTACAGTAGTTGAGAGAAGACAGGAATGTTCTCAGAAAGAAATTTCTACACAACAAGTGACGTGAGGCTTGGCGCATTATCGTATGTGCATACACCACTTTCCTTGCCACTTGGCCCATTGCATCCATCAAACTGTATCGCACAACCTCTGCAAAACTTGCACATAGAAATTTTCAGTAATAGACTGTCCAGGCCACAGTGTAGCAAGGCTGATAGTGTCTCTGAAGTTCATTTTCCTAGTTTACACATGAACTTCATGTTCCCACGCTGTTGGAACTGCAACATTACACTGACGGGCCACCACTCACCTCCATGTGACACAAAGCAGTGACACCACTGTGCACTGAAACTTGCCCAGACCAATTTTGCTCACTTGCAAACCTGCCCAGCCCCATACTCCAAGAATGTGAACCCTGTCTTTTCCCTAGTTTTTCAATGTCAAGGCAATTCTGGAACTTTTTGAATGTCCTACGTAAATGATGCAAAGTAAAGCTTCATTTATGTTTCCCTTCTCCATTAATTACAAAAAATGAATAATACTTTACCTGCTTCCATTCTCGACGCAGCTCATTCAGCATACCTGGTGTCAATAACCCCTCTGCTATCAAGCGCTCAGTCAGCTTGCCATGTCCAAAGGAAGGGCTGGGTCCTGCACCAATACATCAAACCACCCAATTACTCTACTCAGATAATTTTAGCATTGTTGCAAATATATTAAATTTGAAATATTACCATAAATTTAAAAACAATTTTTTTTCAGTCTCACAAGGATGTACTTTAGAAAATATGAATTAATTATGATTTCCTCATAATTTGTAATATACTGCTGAACTCCTGATGCCATTCAAGAAAAAAGTAAATGGCAAGATTTTCCACGGTTTTGAAGTTCACAAAAAACATAAGATATTTGGTATTATTATTAATCCATTGTTTTAAACAATTTCTTTCAAAAGAGAACAGCAAATATTTCAAGAAAGTGACACACTATAATTACCTTGGAACTTTTTAATTCTCATCAGTATCTAAATCTATGTTTTTGAAAGTGCCTGGAAACCAAATATTGAAAAACCGTTTTCTTTCATCCTTCTTACCTCTTGGACGAGATGCTTTGGAATCAATATCTGTTAGAGCATCGTCTGTATCAGCAACTGAGCTGCTGCTGTGTCCTGTTTCTGAGTTCTTAAGAAGACGAGTAAGTTGAAATACTCCTTGCTGAATGATCGAGTCCAGCTCTTGTTGCATCTCTCGAACAAGATCCGCATCAGGAAACAGATCCATGAAGCGATAACTCAACCACAAATACAGGTCCAATACATCAAAAACAGCTTCTAAATGAACCAGATCGATTATGGTTTGAGGAATATCTAACGGCCAGCCAATATTTCTTTTTAGCCAGTCAAAAGTCAATGCATCGTTCTTACTATATTGACGAACAAATTTCAAGAACATAGTACATACAAAAGGCATTTTTTTATTGATAGGAGCACAACAGAACACATAACGAGCACGTAATGGCAAAGGAACATGTTGAATCATTTCTGCTAAGAATTTAAAATCTTCAACATTACACATAAAATAAAGTGAATCATCCACTGTGGACAAAGTTACAAATATATCCATTAAATTTGACAAGCTAGAGTTAGGAAGATGGTATGCATACAATTCAATCTGTTCAGCAGTAGGGTGTAAACCAGCAACAGATATGGGCTCAGGTGTTTGTGCAAGGAGATTTTTCAGTGTGTAAAGGTCTTCTGGCTTAAAAGTTGTCACGTAACCAGTTTCATACTGAGTTCCAAAGCGACCTGCTCTCCCAGCTATCTGAAGGGCTTGTGAAACTGATATTACATCCATTTCTTTTTCTCCTTTCTCATTAACAACTGGTTTAATGAGGGAGTAAAATATAACACGTCGAATGCTGAGGTTCAAACCCATTCCAATAGCATCTGTAGCTACCAAAATATTGCATGAATTCATCACATCATTAAACTTCTGAGCTTGAGCTAATTTAGTGCCAGGAGGTAAACCACCATAAATCACAGCTACTTCTTTTCCACGAGCCTCTATTCCTCGTGACACCGTATAAATGTCATTCTTACTGAAGCATACAATGCAGTCACCAGGTTGTACAGCATCCAAAGAACCAAGGGCAGAGTTCTCAACAATAAGTTCTGTGAGTCGCTTATATTTATGGACCTACAAAGATAATAGGAAAGTAAATAGTAATTAAAAACTCATATGACTTTCACTAGGGAATAAGTTTAAGAATCCCATTGCTAGAAATAAAATCAATTTTATCATTCATATTTATTTTTATGACCCTTGGGAATGAATGCAAACAAATATGAAGAAAGAAAGAAAAAAAGATGTTTTTTAACTTCAGGACCCAACGGAAACACTGAATTTAAAAAATAGACAAAACCTCACCTCAACATCTTCACCAGTTGTACTCATAAGAGAATGAACCAAATCCACTGCACCTTCCTCTCCACACACATGGATTTCTTCTGCCATTACACCAAGTAATGCTCTTGTCCAAGCCCAACCCCGCCCAATGTCATGCATCATTTGTATTTCATCAATTACAGCAACCTCATATGGCATATTTAAAGATGTCATTTCGACTGTACATGCTACATGATTGCTAGGATTTCCATCAGGATTTGCATATCTTTTTTCTTCACCGGTTACTAAATCACAAGGAGTTCCACTGGCATTTGCCTTATTAAAAACTTCTGTTGCTAAAAGTTTCAATGGGCCACAATATACTCCTGATTTAGCAGAAAGAAAACGTTGCAAAGCATGATATGTTTTTCCACTGTTCGTAGGCCCTGCATGAAATATTACTTTCCTTGTACGTGCTCGTGCTCCTGGATACCTGAGGAAACAAAAACAATGAAAACGTGGGTATTGAATTAAACTATGTAAGACAGTCTAATGTCAAAGAGCTATACCAATTAGCAGGGGAACGAAGATCACTTATTTTCTTTAAGTCATCCATGCATTCAAGATGTGGAAACATCTGCCTTGCATGGCGAATGAAGTATGGAAAAATGTCATCAGCATGTCCTGCACCATGGATTATGTCGCTGATAACAACATGCAGATCAACAGGTAATGACTCAGCCTCAAGACAATATCGCCGGAAACTTGTACATGCTTGATGCAAGAGATGATCTGGAAATAAAGAGCTTGAATGAGATAAAGAGATACAAATACAGTGAAAGGGAACAAAAATATTTGAATTATACTATAATTACTACTAAATATTTAGAGATCTCTTTTCTTACTGTCCAAGCCGTTTTCAAGGGAAACAGATTTTATCTGTTTACTTTGGAAGAACTTATTCAGTACTTTGAGCAACTCTGCTTTATCCAATTTCCCTGTCAATTCTGCGCCAATGTCAGCATCGTCAGGGTTCGGCTTCACTGGCACAGGAATGAAGAGTGAAGACGCATTAATATCGTCCTTCCTTCCACGATAAAATCTACAATTGGCGATACGAGGGACGCATTTCTGTATTTTTGAACCAAGAGCAAACACAGAAACCGTATAAAGAGGCAAGACTCGTCGTCCGGTTTGCAACATTTTTATTTTTTTTACTCCCGAGTAGGGATTTACCGAACATCAACTAAAGAATGGTATAATCATGCACATGCGAGAAAATTTAATGTTTAATATACAAAAATCCCTTGAATCCCACATATTTCTTCCAGGACGATCTTAACCTCTCCCGCTCTCCGTGCACATGCTGCTCCGCAGTTATAATTTTCTTTACATTGGTATTTCGTTTAACAATTGATGAACTTACAGGACTACCAACGTGCACAAACCATTCTCGCATTGGTTGAATTCATGACGTCACATGATCATTGGAACCATTCAATGCGGCCGCGGCCGCAAAAAGCTGAGGGCCAGTGTGGGTGGAGGGCTGACAGGGGGTCGTAGGTGATCGTAGGTTATGTGCAAATTTTATAGGTCTATCACCATCCCCAGAGTAGTTATAAGGAATTTTTCATTTCGTACATAGTTAATTTTTGAAACATGACATGAACTATTATTATTTGCATTTATTTTTTGTACCCGGCGGGCTGTTCGAAAATCTGAAGCTTCGACGACATGCAAGATTCCACTGATAACCTTTTGTACGTATAGAATTATTTCCTCTGCCTTTAATGTGTCGAGTGTTCCATTTATGTCTAAATATGTTCCTGCACTTGTTTTAAGTATTTGCCTCCACATTTCAGATTTTCCGCTCGGAAAAGAGAAGATGATTTCAATGTAAAGTTTATTAAATGTGTTGAGAAATATCCATGTCTGTACGATTCCAATCATTCAGAATATTATATGAAAAATAAAGTAAATGAAACATGGTTAAAAATTGCTAATGAAGTAGGTGATAGTGGTAAGCATTATTTTCTTAATATCAGGTTTCTGCCATCTGTATTGGAAGAACACCTCTTGTAATTTAATGTTATTTCATGTAAAAAGGCACTCCATGTGTGTATTTAAGGTATACTTCATTGCATTGCATTACAACAACAAAAAAAAACAACATTGAAATGTGACATGAAGTAGTCCATGATAGAGTAAGTTAGTTGGGATAAATGTCACTAATTTTAATATTAAATACATATTAGTAAAATTTTTCATGAATAAAAGTTTCTAAAGTGAGAATAGGCAGAAATAATTATATGTGATCATTGTGTATACAGAAAATTATGAAAAAAAATACATAAGTTCTTCATTGGAATACAGAACATAGAAACTTCCTCTGATATGTTGCATTCTTTTTATGATTTGTGTATTAATCTTTTATGGGGAGTGGTTGTGGTATTCAACTAATATATTATTTTCTTATTGAATTTTAGAAAGGAACTGCAGAGCTCGGTGGCAAAATATACGTACAGCATTTGGGCGATGTGTGCGTGGAATGGATGAACAAAGGAAATTAGGAACATCAAATTCCAGAAGCCCATACTACCTTGCAGATTTACTTCATTTCTTGTTACCTCACTTACATAAAAGAAAACGAGGTTTGAATGAGCGAAATATGGATATGCTTTTTGTTGAGGGTACTTATGAGGAAGTACCTTCGGAAGCAGATCCAGTGGGATACCAAAATCTTCCTGTGAAACTAGAAGAAAGCAATGAATGCTTTCCTGTAGGAGAATTCCAATCCAATGGTTTTGAAGAGACTGGTACCCAAACCAACACCAAATGTGTCTGCGGTTGTGAATGCCGGTGGTCCGAGAGAGACAGAATTGAAGGAGATTCAGACAGATGCTTCTTACTTGGAGTGCTGCCCGATTTACAAACTCTTTCCCCTAAATACAAAAGGCTTTTTCGGAAAGAAATGACAAAGTTATTGGATGAACTTCATGATAAACAATCAAATGATCAGTGATATATTTTCAGTTTATTTGTCTTGTACAAGTTTAACCAGACATGTCCTTGGTGCACTGAAAATTCATATACAGTGTATATTCTCTTAGTAAAACAACTGGCTGGGTTGTACTCCTTTTCCTGGAATTGGATGTACAATTTGCATCACTGGGTACTTATCCTAGACTTATTTGTGCATAGGACATACTTCCAAGAAATGAAACACACTTTAAACAGTCTTTAAAATATTTCCAGTCAATGATTGATGTCCAACATAGGAGAATTTTATTGTAGCTATTTTTCAGGTCTTTTGATGAATCTTCTCTTTTAATAAGTTATGCAAAATATAAGGGCAGAATACTGAAGATCTATACTTTTCATTTTCATAAACCCAATGAAAACACTTATTGATAATTGAGATAGTAAACTTGTTCATGATAAAAATAAAGTCACTGAGGTCACAAACTGCTTTGAAATGAGAGTGGTTTCTTAGATCTCTGTATTCTATGGTATGAATAATGTTGTAGCTCCATCTTTCTCAATCCAGTTACACAATTAATTAAAAGACAAAGCTTGATCTGATTCACTAGAACATTTCAGTTTTTATCGATTTTCCTTGCAATACTTTGCAACAAATGCTGAAATAATTTCTGTCTGCTATACAGTTGATTTGTTCGGCACAAATAAAAGTTTAAAACATCTAAATTCGTTCTTGTGTTATAAGTTACTGCTAAACCACCCAACATGTCTCTGACTGCATGCCATATTGTATTAAAAGATATGGATCTTGACTTCATTCTTGTTGAGTAGAGTTACAATAGTAAATGTGACTTTATAAGTAGCAAGTGGTGTTTAATATGTGCTGCCAAAACAATATTTTAAATTTTTAGTTCTGGTAAGAAGACCTGATGAGGATTTTGAATGTGGTTAGGACCTGAAGAGGCTAGTTTTGTTTCAGCTACTTATCAGAAGACAGAGAGTGACTTGTAATTTTTGGTTTGTAACATTAGATAGTGTCAAGTTTATGCTACCTCCCCTTACAGATCCAAACTCAACTACACAATAAGACATGGTGTATTTGGTTTAACCACATACTAACACTTCGAGATTTGATTAAAATCACATTTGTTTTACTAAAAAGTAAAAATCTTTGAGATCAATAAGGTTCAGAACAGGAGTTGCTTAAGTGGGATCATAGAGCTTTTAGTATTCACAAATGTTTAAAGCAGGAATTTTCAGGAATGAAGATGCACATGTATTGGGATATAGACTGTGTGGGTGTTTAAGATATACATTCTCCTTCTTCAGTCTCCCAAACTGTTAACACCAACTGCTTGTTATATAACTAACTGAGCTTTGATAGGCTCAAATAGTTCTGAAATATTTTTTTTCTCACTAACAGCACACTTCAGTAGCTTATTAAGTAATTTTATAAATGCACAATTTATTTGAGTTGAACATTCATTTCCATTAGTGAAGTTATGTGATGTAATTACATGATCTCTGATGAATACACACTTGATGCTTCAGCATTGTTTCCTAAAATTAATCACTGGAGATAAGTAATGGTACAAATATTTTGAAGAAAGCTACTAATTGTTTTGCATAATACTGAAGAAAATAAGAATTCTGGAGTTTATATTACTAGAACAGTTCTGTTATATGATATGGGTAATGCATCATATTTCTTTGATAATTGTTGATGTTGAACACCCAAGTTTATTTTCAATAATATAATTAATTACATAAGCAGGAATAAATACATAATACAAGAAACAAAAAGAACATATTTTTTTTCTCTCAATTACATTACTCGATATAATCTTTCTAGTTAAAAACTAAAAGGCATAAAAATTAATATGTTTACTGCATATAATTTGAGCATCAGTTCCGTAGCTTTGGTTCAGTTCTGCAGTAAAACTCGATGAGAATTAGGAATCCATTAATGACCAACTGCAGCATCCAAATCATATAATTGTTGACATCATTATGCACCATTGCACATTATCTAAATGGCAAGCGTGCTTATGACAAAATGTCATTTACTAATATGGGTTCGTTTTCTCATTTCCAAATGTCTCACTTCATAAATAACTGCATGTACTCGCTTTGTACATACCAACCAGTGCTCAAAGCACCATAATTGAATAAAGCTGCTGATACATATCGTATAAATAGTTCTTATTAAAGAAGTCATTTGAATATGTGCCACATATCTGGATATTTGAATTTGAAAACAAAAATAATTCAAATTAGTTTTTAATTTGGAGACACTCTCAGCGTGGATTTAGAACATCACATAGCAAGATTGTATGGCACTCATTTCAGCAGTTTGAATGGTTAGCACCATTCTTATGGATTAAGCGATTTTCACAAATCTTGTGATTATTTTCTAACCCTTCTTGAATTTAAGTGTGAGTACACTTGCCCCAAGGAAAATGGTTATCCAAACAAAAATTGATATGTAGCCATGATATACGATTGGAACATCCATACCCTTTCCTCGGGTTATAATAGTTCTGAGGGATTCCACTGTCTGAGTTAGAGGCATGACTACACTCAGGTACCTCAGTATGTAGTGCATGCCCTCTACTGGCCAGATAATACCTGCAATAGAAAATGTAAGTAATATAATAACAGATAACATAAAACCCGAATTTTTTTTTTTTTTTTTTAAATGTTCATTACATACCACACAACATTACAACAGGTACAAAACTTCCAAGACCTATGTAACTTGCACTTCTCTCACTGTCACAAAATATTGATATGAAGAAACCTGCAGGAAAACATTAACCATTTAATTTCTTATAACTAGAATGTTATACATCTCAAATCATGTTATTTAGAGTAATGCAAGTCAGAGGAGGACATGACCTGTTATCTTAAATATTACAAGAACTGCGTAGATGACAGACACAGAAGCGTATTTCTTTGTTCTTAAAGGATAAATTTTAAAACAGCACAGGTTATCAAATTTGATGTGCCTTTCCAATGGGTGAACTTTATTCATGAAATTTTATAGAAAAATTTACCATTTTAAAATTTCTATTATCACATTAAGATGTCCCATTACAATAATTAACGTTATATAATATTTAGAAACAGTTAGTGATAAAAGTGACATACAAAGTTCTGTTTTTTTACATTTATTAAAAAGATTCTCATCTCTACTTTTATTTAAAAATGCCTTAGTATACTGTAATAGTACGTTCTACATATTGTCAAATTTTGATATTTTCATAAATGATAAGACTTCGTATTTAACCATTTCAGTGCTCAAGATCACTAAGGCTGTAGTGTTGGAGCGATCTCACACCGAAAGGTCGCAGGTTCAAGTCACACCTCGGGCATGGTTGTATCGTGTTCATCCTTTCACCCCATATCATCATCATATCATGTCATCCTCACAGTTACAAGCAATAGTGGTAGCTAATGACCTAGAAGTTGATGCAACCTTAAATAACAAAATTTAAATTTAAAAAAAAAAACACACACACTTCACATTTGTAATAAAATAAGTTTTTTTTACCGTAACACATGCCACAAAATCCAGTGAGGAGACATAAAACAGTCAGCCAAAATACACTTCCGGAGTTAGGTACGCCAAATATAGGAAATGAGAATACCAGTACAGCTGCCACTTGGAGAACCATAAGGCAAAATTGTACAATTACATGTGACATGAGAATTTCTACTGGTGTTATTCCTGCAAGTTAATTTAATTACAAGTTAGTCTCATTTTAACAATGACATTGGAAATCATATCATTATTCTGTGCAAAAAATCTTAACATTATGTACTGAGTTATATATATTGAACAATGTATCACATTGCATCAGAAAATGTAGTACATACCTGACACTAAGCATCTTTCCAACATTCCATCAGTTCTTTCAATCATCATTGTGAGACCGGTCTGGCCTAAACACAAAAAGAAGATAATCCTGGAAAAATGAAAAAGAAGAAAATTGCTTCAGAAACATTTCAGGAATAAAAATATTTAATGTTTACAGATTTCTTTCCCAAAGTGCATTTCAAATTCTATTATTCTTGCAATGCCTGAATGATGTTAGGTTTTGAAATGAATGATGTTAGTTTTTAAAAAGTAAAACAGCCGAGGGGGTGATGAATACTTACGTAAGAATTACACCTGGGGCAGCAAAATCTCTGAAGTTTGGGTTAATAGACCCAAACACTGGTGTATTGAACTGAATAAAAGAGAAAATGTATTGTCTTTCATTAGCAAAGAAAATGTTAACATATAATTTTAATCAATTAACGCTTTTATCATTGGTGACTACAATGAAAACCTTTTATGGTGATATCATCTGAACATAACTACTTTTCACCAAAACTTACCCTGATAGGAACATTAGCAGCTTGTGCAGAGTAATTGCAAGAGGTTAAAATATCCCCAGCAAAGTCTTGAAAGGTTAATAACATGTCCTTTTTCATCATTTGACCTATGTGCTGATCTGGAAAAATTCCACTTTTTCTTTAACAATTGATTACAAATGCAAAGCAACAATTGATAAGCCCTCTTTAGTCTGATAAAAGTCTCTTTAGCAAGCAGCAAGATACTGCTGTGGAGAGACTTTTTTGGCATGCCATGTATCATTGCAAGCTATGGATTTCTGAAATGCAAGGAATGCTTACTGGACATATCCATTGTGACTTGTACTGATCCAAAGTCAACTGCTTCAGGACTAGCTGCTCTGCCATCTGCCATCCTCTCGAACAGAGAATCAGAATAATTTGCTGCAAATGTCAATGCAGCCCATGCATGTCCTCTTTTCACAGCATATAGAGCATCATCTTCAGATGCATATTTGTCCTGGAATATTCATAATGTCATAATTTTTACTTAAAAAGACTGATGCAGACTACTCTCAGTACTGAAATAACTTTGATACATTAATTTTACTAGTCAGCAAAAGAGATATAAATGAAAAAAAAAAAAAAAGAAAAGGTTAAATATTGTACATTTCTTACAAAATGATATTTTATGTACTATGTGTTCTGGATAATATTGATAACTGCTTTATGAAAATATTATTGGTATTGTTTTTCCCTTAAAGAACCTTATTTGCCATAAAAGGCACAAAATTACAATATCGGTCACTTCTTAATATTTTGATTTGTAACATTTAATCTAAAGGTATTTGCAAAGTAAAATCACCCACATGTCCTATGTCTCATTTAGTGCACCATACACACTGTACATTTTTAAACAATCACATGAAGAATGATGTACCTTTTATTTCCATCTCACTGAAAAAGAACTCTTGTGCTTACCAGTATGAAAGGTCTTTTCCGTAAATGCTGCAAATAACGGCAACTTAAAATGCCGTCAAAACATCCATGTGAATCAACACATTCATCCAAGGTATCATTGAGCTCATAATTAGCAATTGCTATATGCAAGTTTTGAGGGTCTGGTCCAATCGCAAGACAATATAATGCAGTCTCAAAAATTGGCAGGAGAGCAATAATTGCCAGAAGGCTAAAAAAATAATACATTTTGATTTTAGATTTTGGTGGTGAAATGAAACCAAGTTCATCAGCCACCATGTTCACTAGCATCTTTGTTAATGTTATCATTGTGGCATTGGTCTTTGGCACGTACAGTATAGGGCTCAATACACTTGTTATCCTTTGGGTTATTTTATTTTATGTGTTTTAGACTATCCATGTTATGCTTTTATGTAAATCAAGTTTTAATTTTTATGATAAGTTTCTTTTATGCTTATATTTTGTACTTAATTTATTTATGAAGTTTTATGTATTTTTATGAAGTTTCTATATGGAAGTGAAAGTTGGGTAACAACTAAAAAGGATGATAGCAGAATACAGGTTGCAGAAATGAGATTTTTAAGAAGAGTGAAAGGATGTACTAGATCAGACAGGATAAAAAACAATGACAGACAGGAATTGAAAATACAAGCTATAAATGGGAAAATAGAGGAATACAGAGAGAGATGGAAAGAACACATAGGAAGAATGGAAAATACAAGAATACCCAAAAAAGTTTATAACTATCATCCTCGGGGTACAAGAAATATAGATAGACTGAGGAAAAGATGGAAGTGAATGCTTTGAGAACAGATCATGAGCCTAATCCATGAAGTGAAGAAGAAGAAGAAGAAGTTTTATATGAAACTAATGTCATTTTATTGCTATTTTAATTCTTCCTTTTAATACTAACTGCACAATCTGATGAAGCAGGCACAACAGCCCATGGAACATTGTTGAAACAATTAATAAATAATTTCTGGGAAATGTGTATTTGATTGTCTATAAGCCAAAGATTACTTTAACAATAATATAAATTTCCTTTTTACTTTTGTAAGCAAGTATCAACAAAAAATGCCAATATGCATGTTAACACAATGTTTGGTAGTATCTTAATTGTAACTTAAAGTTTGGTAACTAAAATATGTGTGATAGTAACAGTAACTATTTACAATGGGTGTCTATGTAAATTATTAATCATTTAGAAAATCTTAAGATATACATTTCTAATTAGTAGGAACTTAAGATACAGTGACATGCATTAAACTCAGTAACACATACAACTACAAGCCAGAGCAAAAAACCAGTAAGGTTATTGGCATACCCATAATTTCTGATTAGCCACAAGAAATTCTTATATAAAAGTGCTTTCATTTTCTGGGGTGAAATTATTTTCATTCTCTCTGAGCAAGTTACTGGTTGATCCTCTTCGGGAGGTATATCTGTCCTTTCTCCAGGAGTCTGGAAGTTTAAAGTATTTCCATTAATGCATAAATACATCCTATTAATGAATATTATCAATAAATATTTTTCAATGCAAATATTATCAAAGTACTGCATGCAGAATGTTTTCCCTTCAAAGAAATGTAAATAAGCATACAAGAAATAAATAACAGACAGTTAGGCTTTTCTTTTGAAGGCAAAAATAATTAATTCACTGATTTAAGAAAGAATGCCAAGTCAGAAAGATGGAATAATTTCTACAGTGCACTACCAATGCAACAAACAGATTTTTGTAAATAAGTCAGAAAACAAACTTTTCATACAACAGTCAGTCTAAAACTTGCAAGAGCTCCTCATGCAATTCTATAGGTTAAAATTTTAGAGACTATTAACTTACATGTACTTCAACATCCCGATTTGACAGGCTCACATTGTCACCATATTCTCCACTTATTTCTGAATTTACATCATACGACACTGGCTCCTGCATTCACAGAGAATACATGCATTAATTTTCAATAATTGGGATGTTGTTCACCTACAATCCCATTAAAATAACATGCTTGATCATTCCATAAATAAAGATATGTTTAAACATTCTGATTTATTAGATGCATGCATGGAATGTGCAATAATGTCATTATAAAAAGTAATTGTTACATATTTCATTAGAAGAACCTCTACAATTACAGCCATTAGAAACATTTTTCAAATCGCAATTCTAAATGAAGATAATAAATCAGTTATTATCATCACAAATTGTTTAAAGGTGTTATGCTTCTGTGCAGAGAAATGCTGTAAGATTTATGGAAAAATTCTGATGGCAGATACAATCCACACTAATGCACCTACTTCAACTTGAACATCTGACATCACTTCTTGCATGAAACTGCTCCTGCGTCTCTTTCCAATGTTTTGGATTTTGCTTAATTTTAGAAATACTTCCTCCAAAGAGTCACTGTTGTGAGTACGAAGAAGATCAGTTGGTGATTCCTCTGCTAAAAATTTCCCTCCTCTCATTAATGCAATCTGGAAAAAAGAATTATACAGTTTGATTGGTATTTTAATCACTGTTGTGAGTTTACTTAATTGATCAATATCTTACAGTGTGAGCTTGACGAGTTTCATCGATGTAATGTGTAGTAATTATTACTGTTTTATTCCCTCCTTTTGTGATTTGCACTAAATGATCCCATATACTGCAATAAAAGAGCATTATTGGTTAAAGGTAGCAGTTATTTATGACTTAACTTAAAAATACGTTTTTTTAATAATACTTTTGTCTTAAGAGAGGATCTACACCAACTGTTGGCTCATCCAAAATTAACAGTTCAGGATCATGTATCAAGGCTGCTGCAAATGATACTCTTCTCTTTTGGCCACCACTGAAACAAAAAAGAATAATTTCTTTTTAACTAAATCCTAATATAATATCAATGTATGAAAATCACACTAAAAATTTCTGTGAAGAGAAATATGTTTTAAAAGAATATCAAAACTGAATTCACTTTTGTAATGTGTGTGTGTGTGTGTGTGTGTATATATATATAATTCCTTTTTCTAAAAAGAACTACTTATTTGGAAAGAACTAACCAAACATTTTGGGGCATAGAATAATAATTAAACTAGGGGTGCTGCAACAGTGCATATTAACACTTCCTCTAAATTATTATTAATATTATTATTATTATAAAATTATAATTATTATTACTTATTTCTAAATTTGAAATTTTCAAAAATTCACAGAGTTCAATGAAAATGAGATTGCGCCATTCTTTTCAGAGTGTTTTTTGAGAAAAAGCCTTTTGTTTTATACAATACATTAATTTTGACCAAAACTACGTGAAAACTATATATATAAGAACCACTCCGGTTTTTGAGAAAAAAAAATATTAAAAACATTAAAAATTTTCTATATTTCACGCAAATTGCGCGGAAACAATTCACATTTTCGAAAAATTGCGCAATATATGATTTTGACATGTCTTTAAAGAACATATATCTTCAATATTGTAGTTGAAGACAGAAAAATTTAAACCTTTGTAATTTTCGAAAATTTAGCCATTTAACGAATGAGACCTGCATTATTCTCTTATACGTTCTAATAAAAAGCATTGGGTCATTTTTGAAAAAGTATTGGAAATGTGACTTTATATAAAGTACCCCTAAAATCAAAATATCCGTTTCAAGCTCAGAGGGCCTCGAGTTCATTTAAATCGATAGGAGAAAATCGGCTGGACGGTTTGGGCGCTAGCATTAACCACGGACGGACGCGGATTTGTGCCGTCAGCCGTTTTATTTTTTATTATTATTTTATCAATGGCTTCAAAACAAGAACTTTGACTACACAAACGTGTAATATACACAGGATCAAGATTTATTTTCGATTTCGTTACCAGGATCCGGCAATAAGAGGTTTCGGTTTCTTAGAGATTTAATTCTCCATTACCTGAGAGTATTCACCATCCTGTTTCCAGGAGGAAGCATCAAAAAATTAAGCAGAAATTCTATCTTCACATCAATTTCTTTTGTTGTCATGAAGTTGACCCAACCAAAATATAATAAGGTTTCACGAATTGTAAATTCTTGGTACAGCGCAAGATCCTGAAAAAATAAAATTCGTACGTGTTAAAAATTAACCACAATTTAGTCTAAATAATATAAATAATAAATTATTGTTGTTACATTTCTTAATAAATAACATGGTAATATGTGACAGGATTATAGTTAAGGGCAGCAGGCTGCCGTGTGTCCCCATTCTAAATCAACACCAAATAATTTTTTTTTATGACAATCACAAAATTTGTTGTTTTTTATGCATATATTTATCTATTACAGCTGTGGTATAATTTATTTAATTGTTCTAATAACATAAGTAATTTTAATTTTTAGTAAATTAAGATTGTTTTTGAAAGCCTAGAGCAACTTAGGCCCTGCATGAGGTGTGTTAAGCCGGAATAGCCAAGCCATCACTCCGGAATGAATCATCTCAAATGATTTATTGCTATTTACTTGCTATTATATATTTAATTACCACATATTTTCGGGGCGAAAACGGGTTTGAGCTGACTTAACGCGTCAATCTAGAACACGGGTCAATTAATTCCAAATTGTGGCAATTAATTAGCAATAAATCATTTAAGGGTTTCCGTTGAGCTACTACCCGTACTTAACCAGTGTGTGCTGGCGTCACGTCAAGTCAATATAAATGTAACTTCAAATAAACTTTTCCTTATAGCACATCACACGCAGTTTTTAAACTGTTTTTTACGTAAACAAATAAATAAGCCACCTCACCCGCAAGACCCTTTCCGCCACGAAAGTACGTGACCATTAATTTCAATTTGAGGCAGTTAATTAGCAATTAAATAGAAAAAAATCATTTGCTATATTTCATTCCATTGCCCATATGACTGTTCCAGCTTGACGCACCTCCCTACATGTCTTAAATAACTTGGACACACAGTTGCTAGTTGGCAAACGGACGGGGCGGGGCAAGGCGGGGCGGGGCAAGGCGGGGCGGGGCGGGGCGGGCCGACGGGACGGACGGGACGGGACGGGACGGGGCGGACGGGACGGCACGGTGACTGGATGGGGCGGGTTGGCGCGGCGTGAGGTGAGGTGGGCGGGTCGGGTCGAGTCGGGCTTCGGTCGAGGTCGGGTCGGGTCGGCATCGGGGGCGGGACGGGCCGGAGCGCGGAGGCGGGGCGGAGCGGGCGGAGCATGGGGCGGGGCGGGGCGGGGCGGGCGGGGCGGAGCGGGCGCGGAGCGGGCGGAGCGGGGAGGGAGCCGGGCGGGGCGGAGCGGGCGGGCGGAGGGCGGGCGGAGGCGGAGCGGCGGAGCGGGGCGGAGCGGGCGGAGCGGGCGGGCCGGAGCGGGGCGGAGCGGGGCGGAGCGGGGCGGAGCGGGCGGACGGCGCGGAGCGGGGCGGAGCGGGGCGGGCGAGAGCGGCGCGCGGCAGCGGGGCCGGAGCGGGCGCGGACGGGCCGGAGCGGGCGGCGGAGCGGGGCCGGAGCGGGCGCGGAGGGCGGGCGGAGCGGCCGAGGCGGAGCGGGCGGAGCGGCCGGGCGGGCGCGGAGCGGGCCGGGGCGGGGCGGGGCGTGGGGCGGGGCGGGGCGGAGCGAGGGGCGGGGCGGGCGGGGCGGAGCGGGCGGAGCGGGGCGGGGGCGGGGCGGGCGCGGCGGGACGTACCTGCGGCATGTAGCCGATGCGCGGGCCGGGGACGCCGCTGCCGCGGGAGCCGGGCCGCCCGCCCAGCACCCAGATCTCGCCCGAGTCGAGGCGCCGCCGCCCCACGATGCAGCTGAGCAGCGTCGTCTTGCCGCAGCCGCTGGCGCCCAGCAGCCCGTAGCTGCAACAGCGCGCGCCCTCTTTACTCAACCCCCTACACGCGGGTCGCCGACAGAAAATCGGGCCCCGTTCAAAGAAGGTCCTTACAACAGATTACAAACGCGTTCTTCTGTTTATTCTTATTTTATTTATAAGCTATACTTAGATAAGACATAATGTATCCTGTATCACTCGACTATTCACAACGGCTCCTAGTCCGCTTTCCTGAATTTACAGTCTTAGAAAGCGAGGTAATTAATTTTCATGCTAACCGGCGTGTAATTATTAATTTTGAAAATATATCATCTTGCAAAATTGAAATGAGGAGCTACGATAAAAAATAAATTGGATTAAATGAATGCTCAATTTATTAAAAAAATATGGAACACGTTCGGCTTCATGAGCTGAGCTCCCTTGGGCCCCTTAGGCCCCGAGCCATGAACCGGCTGAAAACCGTCTCCTCGGGCCTGCTCTTAGGGGTCGACGTACACTTTTGAGGCGGTTAGAACCAAAGTAGGCAAGTCCCCATTTTTATGAGTCGACGTCAAGTGTTCCTCCCGAAAGACCGAGTGGTGCAATTGCAGTTCATAGTATTAGCATTCAGAAGGCACTACCAAACACGCCCGGACCATGTGAGAGGCCGGACCATCGGCTGGTGACAAGAGTGTGATATGCCACATTATATCGGGTTGGTTGAGCTTATGGTGCAGATGATCCTCCCTGGTTTTAACCGGATAATTTGTATAAATGACAAATCAGTAAAAATTGCGAATTTTGGGTCCAATTTAAGTTAATAGAGTGTACCCTCTATTATCAAAATTGATTGCTTAGGCTCATTGCTGATATGCAGTTTCAAGTATTTTCTCATCGCAAATGTCTGGCTTCGCGATCGCCAAGAGTGTACTATTCTTCAGCAAATTAAATCAGTACTTAGGGTAAAGGTCCTCATTTTTTAAACGACATTCTACCTTTTTTTAAAAATATTACACTATTTATTGGGCCATTCATTAGAAATGATAAAGACGTATAACATTTTAAAAAATGTTAAAATTGTTTTAAAATATTTCAAAATTATTTTCTAAACGGTAAAGGCTACAGTTTATATTCATATTTATTCCGATGTGTTCAGAATTTAGTAGTATTAGGGGCCCTTAGTTTTATCACGCTTAGGGTCCCTTAAGAACCTCGTATTAATCGTGCTCTGGCTATTAGAGGTTTAGTGAGTAATTTGAAATATTAAAGAATTTAAAAATTTAAATTCCATTTTCCCATTAGCTCGCGAGTCGCACAAAAAGAGACGGTGGATGCTCACGAACCGCAGTGCGCATTTCTTCAGCAACCCGCTGTTCAGTACTTAGGTAACTTCTTGTACCATACTTCAGTAACTCACAGATAGCAGCATCCAGACAAAAAATAACTGCGGAAGTCCTTGTACAGGTTTGGTTCTCTAAGAACCCTAGTTCCGAATACAAAGCTATTTTCAATTTATTAAAATACGCTAGGTTCTTCTAGCTTCTAGGCAAGCATTTAGGACCGCAAAATAATTGAGCAATTCACAAACTGAATATTAAGTAGTTGAATAATGTTAGCAAACGAGAAAGAATTTAAAATGAAAATAATTAGGCAAATCGTTTATTTCAAAAGCAGTTGAACAAATTGTTGATGGCCCATGTTTAAAAGTAATGAAGCGATTTAGAGAAAGGATGGATAGTAATCGGTTGACGGTCGCAACCCGCGCACCGAGCGGGACTCACATGACGCCCTTGGGCACGGTCATGTTGAGGCCGTCGAGGATGACGAGCGGCTGGTCCTTGGTGCCGTAGCGCTTGTGCGCGCGGCGCACGCAGATGGCGTGCTGCCTGCGCGTCCACACGCTGCTCTGCCGCTGCACCAGCTGCCTCCGGCGCTCGCGCAGCGCCAGCGCCTCCTCCATCTGCGCACGACAACGAGACTCGGCGCTCAGCACGCGAGCGGCCGGCGCGCGCTGGATTGCCAGGTTGGTTGGTTGGGAGGTTGGTTGGGAGGTCGGTTGGTTGGGAAAGTCGGTTGATTGAGAAAGTCGGTTGATTGGGACAGTCAGTTGATTGGGACAGTTAGTTGATTGGGACAGTTAGTTGATTGGGACAGTCGGTTGATTGGGAAAGTCGGTTGATTGGGAAAATCGGTTGATTGGGAAAGTCGGTTGATTGGGAAAGTCGGTTGATTTGGACAGTCGGTTGATTGGGACAGTCGGTTGATTGGGACAGTCGTTTGATTAGATCAGTTGGTTGTGAGGTCTATTGATTGAGAGATTGGTTGCTTAAGACCTTGGCTGATTGAGTCGTCGGTTGTTCGAAGGGTCGGTCAATTTCTTGCATAGGTCGAAGGGGATGACGTTGGTTAGGAGGTAGGGTGATTCGGAGTTCTGGTGATTGAGAAGTTAGTTGGAGAGAAGGTCGGGATAGAGGTGATCGGAAGAATGGCGGAACAGGTCATAATCTGACCAAAAGAATGGGTAGTTGGGAAGTAGAGTAGTCGAGAGGTCGGATGCTTGGAAGTCTAGTGGTGGAGAGGTCAGATGATCGAGCGGTCGCATGGTCGAGTGGAGTGGCGTGTTTCGTCTGTAAAAGTAAGGCAAGGAATCGCACAAGTCATTGCTCTCTGAACAATAAACATTTAGGGTGAAAATGTGATAGAATGTGTTTCATGGTTAAACAACTCAAATTTAGTGATTTAGTGAATAGCCTATATTTACTGGGTATGTCCCCTTCTTGTTTCAAGTGAAACATAAGTTATGAAAAAAGAAATTTAAATATTATTTGTGAACAGATGAATCAGCCAAACATTAATCTTTATTATTTTATTACCCATACGTATACATTTAATATCCAAAATATAACTTCATTTTTGAGCCATTGTGTAAAATTTCGATACAATACACTAAAGGTTACTAGCGCGATCAATGGGGATAGAGATTACAAGTGCAATATTTCATCTTTCAAGGACACATACTAGCATTGGGCGCAAATCACGCACAATGCTAGCACGTGTCCTTGAAACTCAAAGAAGGAGGAGGAGGAGATGTTAACGATAATAGAAAAAGAAGGAGGAAGGGGAAAAAGGGGGAAACGATGGTAAAAAGGCGATGATCAAGAAGGAGAAGGACGAGAAAGAGAGGCAGAAGAAGGCAAAAACAAATGTGACATGATAACTCATGTAGCACTTAACACGATCAAGATATGGCCAAACTGTTAAGAGGAACAATTTTCAAATTTACGGGCGAATGAATTCAGAGATAATTTGTCAACGTCGTTTCAGCGTTATTAGTAAAGTTTGCAAACATCATTAGAAAGTTTCGCCCCAGTCTTGTGGTGACATCCGTTAACTATCGATCACATGACAAACGACGTTTTACGATCGTAAGGAGCATTGTTCGGATGATATTTACCAATTGCGACATTGCGTAAAGCATTACAAAAAATAAGTATTTCACACGTTGAAGAAATGAGTTACAAAATATGAATGGAGTAAGTGTAGACAATTGGTGAGATTTGAATCATGAGTAAACAAATCATCTGAGAATATACAGATTTCCTGGTTCTGCCCGATGACTATGCAGTATGAGATTTTGAATTGGCTTTTTTTGAGAAAATACAGAATAACAACGTTCGTAATGAACAAAATATATTACGGGAGGTGAAGATATTATTTAAACATACTTTTCGCGAATTTATTTACCTGTTCCATTTTAAATGTTTTAGATAATTCATGCCAGGGTTGTAGAAATTGGTAAGAAGTAATTGAATTGTCTCACATAGGATAATCAGTCCATCATTTCTAGAAAAATACGCAACCCTTCTTGTTTATTGGCACGCACAATCCTGAACAGCTGATGTGTTCGGCGAATGTTCGCTCCCTTTGATGTGTCATAAAGACCGACACGCGGTGGGCAGGGACCAAATCGCAAGCAACCCGCCCACGCTACTCGGGATTCGCCGAATGCCGCATGCGTGTGTCGCTAAAACGCCTCATCGCAGAGGGTCAGCCGCCTTAGTCCTTACCTCGAGCTCGAGCGCCAGGTTGTCCTCGCCATGCATCGCGCCCCGGTCCGTGCTCTGCATCGTCGGACGGCGGTGGGCGGGGGCGGGCGGCGCTTCGGGGGCGGCGGGCGCTGAGCTGGGGCCGTCTCCTCCACCGGGGGCAGGGCGGCGCCGCCGCCTCGCGGGGGCGGGGCGGGGCGGAGGGAGCGCCGCGCAAGAGGCGGCGTGGGAGTGAGGGCCGGGTGCGGGCGGGGCAAGGGGCGGCGGGCGGCTGGGTCAGGAGCCGGTTGCTGCTGCTGCTGCTGCTGCTGCTGGTCCACGGCCAACGAGATGGTGGGCAGCGGGTCGCCGCCCGAGCCGGGAGTCGGCGGCGGAGAGCTCATGGCCTCCTGCAACACGCAACCCACTCAATAGCACCTAAAGAGCTTAAATTATGTAGGGAGGAATTGTGGTAGAAGCTCTATATAGGGAGAGCGCATTTCTTTGCCATTTATATCAATTTGTCAGAAGAGTTCTAACTGTACGATATAGTAAGTATTGGGAGTCACAAATTAATATATTATTATTATTATTATTATTATTATTATTATTATTATTATTATTATTATTTCCTTATTAGATTTTTTCTGGCGGGGCTATCCGGTTGGAGGATATTAAATGGCGGAGGTTGTGCTACTCATTTAGAGACACGAGAATTGTATGTAAATACAGCGCTCCTGATTGAATCACTTTGCACTATTGGTCGCCATGTTTTCTGGCGGTAACACAAACAGGGATGCTATACGTTCTTGTTTGAAAGCAAACGTTTTCGGATTTTTGTAGTATTGGTACGACATTAAAATGCAGACTTCTTGTTCGGCGGTGCCATAATGCATATCTAAATAGAGATGCTAGTTTACTTGAATTTTGCATATCTAAGAAATATAAATTTAAAGAATGAATTGTAGATTTCACGGTTGGGGAATTTAAATTGAGTTAGTTCTGATTTCATTATTGTCATTCTGCATGCAATAATTAAATATTTTGTAGGATATTACGTTAAAAATTATTAAAACAGTTAAGTTTGTTAAAATATCTGTTAAATTTCGAAGTTTCAGATAACTAACGTTCTGATGTTGCTCTCAGAAAACATGGCGCCTGCTCTCAAAAAGCTCTCAAAAAGCTTCAAATATAGCGGGAACATCTTCACTGCATAGATTTACACTTTTGTCTCTTTGTTGGCATCCTATCCCACTTGCCTCACCGCGAGAAAGAACGGTGGCAAGTGATATTTACGAATATATTTACTCGTATTTTATAGGTAGTTCAGAATTAATCATAAAAACGTATTAAGCATTTAGTGAGGTCGAAGATTCTAAAGTTTTTGCAAGTGACAATGTAATCGTAAATATTACGAAGTTGCGCATGTGCCAATTTTTACATGGCGCCCCTGATTGATAGGCAACTCGTCTTGCACTTGTATATGGCAGGCAAGCGAACTAAGAGGGGTCGCCTCCCCAAACAGTAATTTTGAGTTCCTGTATTTATATTTAAAGTGCCTTGACTGCACGTGCACTCAGAACGTGCATTACCTTCACTGCTCATGAATCAATTGACATGGTTGTCACATCGAGAAGTTTTTATGGTCCAGTTGTCTTGATGTTTTCCAAGTGAAAAATCTAAAAAAATGTCATTTTTAGGTCAAGAATTTTGTTTAAAAAACAGTTAATTTACTTTTGCAACTAATTCATATCGTTGATAAGAGACGGTGTATAAATATAAGATGTTTTGTAATAATGATAAATATAAGATGTTCCCTCTCCCACGGAACTGACAGTGAAGAAACAATAAAAATATTCCTCTTTGCCCTCTCCGCAGCTGATTTCGTCAGTCTCGTTACATAAATCACTGTATTTTATTACTAAATCAGGCTGAGTATAAATAAATACAGAACACTGTTGTTATATACAGACTAAACAAATAATTAAAATGTAAACAAAATGTGTGATAAGTATTAATCCCAATTTACCAATGCAAAATATTTTGCATTTGACACCAAAGCAATAATTGCAGATTTTAACTCTCGCAACCTTCATTTAAAAATGATTGGAATTCTCAAATAATTTAGTAAGAAAAAAGTGAATTACGATAATAATTTGTCATACTTTTTGAAAGTTTTTCAGAATCTACTTCTAACGAGAACTTAAGTCAACATACCTAGAGGCTACGACGTTTAACGACCGTAACTGACTCAACATGACGTATCCGACTGTTATATCCTTTCACAGCAAAAACATATTTTGCTAAGAAGTCACGCAATGGTTGTTTCAGATTCAAGGTACATGAATCAACCCACCCATGGCCTTGTTATCGTCGAACAACGCAGCAACTGGCGACCTAAGGTCACCTGATGACTGTCGGTGGAGTCAAGACGGGCAGGAGAAAAGGCAGATGGCGGACGCAAGGTGGACGGCTGGCACAAGGTGGAGAACGCAAGGCGAGTGGTGGGCAGAAGGTGGGCGATGGGCGAGACAAAATGATAATGGATGCACGTGCGATAACAATAAAGGCAGGCCGCTGACAGCAATCTCGCGGCGAACGACGGCAGCGAGCACAAGGCGGAGGGCGGTTGACACCGATGAGCCGTCGCCCCGTGTTCATCTCGATGCTCGCTCCGGAAGTTAGGCGGGCACGCGTTTTCCTTTGGTCTTAGGCGTCACGTATTCCCCTTCCTCTTGCAATACAATATCCACTCACAAGAAAACTTTGATTAATGATGTCAAAATTTACCTTGCATATTGCTATAGTACGTCGTTAAAAGCTTTGAACGAGGGACTGTAATCTTCTGTAAGATACTAGCAAAGGAAAGTTAACGGTTTTGCACATTTGAAAGTCGCCATGCACAAACGCAAACAAATAGCCAGCTCCGAATTCGATCACTGGGCAAAGAAAAATTGTTATAAAATGATCAAGGTAATAGTTGTTGATTCACAACCTGATATCTATATTTGTTACAAGCATACTTCTTCTTTTACACTTATAAGGTATCGAAGGTAAGTAATGAATTATAATAGTTATTACGAACGCCTATTTGATGTAACACACAGTTAAAGGTCTGGTCATTCGAGATTCTACTCTGAATATTATCACTTTTGAAACAAGATTTGCATAGGGGAGATGTTCGGAAGTGTCTAATTAGATAGTTAACAGTTTAGTATTGCTAAGACACGAATAAAATGTTAACCAACTTGCTGATCCTGCCACCAAACGTATAGATTTGCAAGAATAACGACATCGCAGATAACATTTGCTTCATAACTTTTAATCTAATTCAAGCACAATGTCTGATTTTTCATATGGTTCTTGCGTTTGTAGCGCTGTGGTCGGAACACACGTTGTAAACGTATAAGTAATGTCTCATAAAAATCCAGCTAAATATCTCAACTCTTTACTAAACTTCAACATTAAATTCACTTCAAAATATATCTACAATCAAATAATTAAAAAAACTTGATGTATACAACTCGTTTACTATGCTCCTTAAAAGTTCTCATAAAAAAAATCGCACTCGTTCGTATAATATTATTATATGAATTATGACATTATTTGGTATTATAATCTGCAACATCATACACAAGTTGCATAATTTATTATTTTGAACCACTAAGAACTCTAAAATTTTGTAATTTTAAGCATATAATATTTTTTTTAGAAAAATATTACATTATTTTCGGGAACATAAAATTCCCTAGATAGACAAAACACACGATTCGTAATTGGGTAAGGGATGTGTGAGCTAATGTATAACAGGGGCGACGAAGCTTCGCCGGTTTCACTGCTGAACTACCGCAGCCGCTTCCGACGGAGGCAACAGAAGACCTTCACCTTCTCGTATCTCTAAATGCAATCACTGTGTTTTGTTTCCCGCGATTGCCGCTGCAGCGCCGACTGGACTGGAGCTCGCCAATTCTCCGGCGCTGGGCGGCGCCCAGTCGACCTTTCGAGCTCTGGCGCCGCCCACTACCTGCCCCCTCCAGCTCCAAAGACTAACGCTTTGCGCAGTATCCCGATCAAAGAGCAATTGAAGTGCTCAGCAGATTTCAACCTTTCAATTAGAAGCATGACGGTAAACCACTACTTTATCATATGATGAAATATCAAATGAATTGAAATATGGCAAAACCCTCAAACTAGCTGTAAACATGTGTCGAGAGTGAAAGTGATCTTGAACGAAAGAAAGCCATTTTTCTTGAAACAAACTTCTGTTGGGATCTGCCGTAATTATTCTGAATCTTCAATTGTCATGAATAAAAACGATCACTGACATCGATTAAAGATATATCTAACAAGGTATCGAAAAAGTGTTCAATAATGTCGAAAGGAGAACGGCAAAGAGACATTCAATGGAATTACAAGAGATCATGTTTGTTTCGTTTTTATTTCACAGCATGTGAATTGACAGCATTGTATATTTGAAGTGTTTTTACCATACACACTATCTCACGTTTTCAATAAGTTTTTTAAAGTAGTATAAAATTTGACAAGTTTCGAAGTAAGTCTATAGTACATTCCTTACAGTTATAAGTATATTATTATATATTAATTTTGCCTTTTAAGTACATTTTAGTCTATAGTGACATGACTGTTTGCTCCCAAGACCTTTACATGAAGTTGCAAACTCTTCTCCTTTGCGATGAAACTCAAAAATGCGTTTCAGATTGTTTGATTTTTTCAGAACAAAGAAAAGTAAAAAGCCTGAATCGGTTGTTGTGACGTTAGAGTGAATAATATGGTGCAGCTCATGAGAATCAAGCAAAAATTGCGCTAAACTAGTATTTTTCCTTCTTCACTTTTTTATACCCAAACGACAAGTAGATTTTATTCCTCCCACCTAACTACCATCACCAAGAAATTTACAAGCAATTGGTTTCAGATGTAACTAAAATAAATAAAAAAATACAACACAAAATATAAAAATTAATAAAAATATAAAAATTAATAAAAATATAAAAATTAATAAAAATATAAAAATAAATAAAATATAAATAAAACAGACTGCCTCTTTGGAAATGCTTGCGTTTCGCGGGTCGGGAAGGGTCGGGTCGGGAAGGGTCGGGTCGGGAAGGGAAGGGTCGGGTCGGGTCGGGTCGGGTCATATAGCGTCGGCCGGTGCGGTCCGGTCCGGTGCGTCCGGGCAAATGCGGCGCGGCGCCGAAGTGAGTCAAGGCCCGCGCGGTGCGGTGGGCGGCTGACGAAACGGCGGCGCAGCGCAGCGCGGAGCGGAGCAGAGCAGAGCGCGCCCGCGAGAAAGCGAGCTGCCGGTGCTTCGGAACGGGCCGCGCGGCGCAGAGCGGCGAGGGCAATGCCAATGGCAGCCTGGGGCACGCAGGCTCCGACCAAGGCGCCGGCC